GTGATGCTGCTGCACGGCCGCGGGTGCGGGGGGTTTGTAGATGTGGCTTTAAATGCATCCGGATATTCCCGAGGAAACGGAACACTCCTGCCATGCCCTGCCCGCCTCCGGGCAGCCGAGCCCTCCGCAGTCAGCAGAGCGTGTTTCCCGGTCTTGGCGAAACAGCTCTGCAGCAATTCGGGAAAAGGGAAGTGTTCGCAGCAGCGTTTCAACTTTGCATTTCCATCGTAGGAATGCAAAGCAGCGGGGCTGTGCTTGCCGAGACTTCCGTGGGACTCTCGCAGCGGAAAGCCCATTCTTGCGGATTCATCCCCGTGTGACGCGGGGTGAGCGCTGTCGGACGGGTCTGCGGATCATCCGCAGGCACCAAACAGCTCCGTGGGATTTACATTCCCGGCACTGCTGCTCCCCGATTTCCTCATTTGCCCTAAACAAAATCAGTTAGTGATGAAAACCTTCACCCTGTCACCCAGTTTTCTGCAGACCCATCAGTCTGTGAACGCGCTGAGTTGCCAACCTGACCCAAGAGGGAAATCCAGGTGAACGCTGGAGGGAAGTTTGGCTGAGGGTGTGGAACGGAAGGGGCAGGCAAGGAGCACTTGGCAGCAGACGATCACACTCCAGGCTAAGTCATTACAGCTACTCGGGCTGCTGTAGTTCAATCCAAGCAGACAGTATAAACTTTTTTGTTTTAAAGTTTCTCTGAAGTTCTAAGCAGATCAAATTATCCAAATAGATATCTGACTCTTAACTTCTTTCTTTGAGAATTTTCCTGAAGATTTCTTTTGTTTTCACGTTGACTTTATCCGAAGGTACAGTTCCTTAAGATATCCTGAACAAGTCACTTCTCAATTATTGTACGTGAACAAGTAACTCAGTGGAAAAGGATGCCTGTGTGCTGCTTAAAGGGAGGTCCTATGACAGGACTGAGGGGGAAAAAAAGGAGTTAAAAAATGTCACACTGGTGCTACTCATTCTTCTCCATAGCAAGAAATATAGACAGAATGAAACTTGAACAGCACTCTTAGGCCATGATTAGATGCATATGATAAACTTGGGGTAAAACTGAGGTCTGGAGAGTTTAAAGGAACCTGTTCCACCCTAACTCATTGGCAAAATCAAAAAGAGAGACCAGGTAAGAGCTGCTTGCCTGAAAAGGCGGTTTAATAAATAGTTTTTAAAAACCCGGTGGGGTAAATATTCTGTATTTGGCAATGAATGTTTCTTTGAAGGCCTCTGGAGAACGGCTGGCCCGGTGCCGAGGCTCTGCCCGGGCTGCAGCTGCAGGGACACAGGGCAGGGACTGTGCAGGGAGGGCGAGCCCGGCTGGGGACACGGAGCCCTTGTCCTCGGGCTGCAGCACCCCGAGAGAGGGCACGGCCTCCGGGGTGTCCCGGGCCGCCAGCACGGGCCGTGCCCTCTGGCCAGGCCGTGCCCACTGCTGCTGCCTGGGCAGTGCCCGCTGCCTTGACTGTGCCCGCTGGCTGGCTGGTGCCCACTGGCTGGGCCGTGCCCACTGGCCGGGCCGTGCCTGCTGCCTGGGTGCCAGCGCGGTGCCCGGAGCGCGGCTGGCAGAGCAGCTCGGCTGGCAGAGCAGCTCGGCCGGCCCTGGGCTGCTCTCCTCCCGCCCGCGGTCCAGGTCTGCCGGCAGCACTTGGAACAGAATTTACATTTGATCTTCAGAAATTACATGAGCTTCCAAATTACACCCCGCATGTCAGGAGGGCAGCACAGGTGAATTCTGATCCCTACTGCTTGGTAAGTCACAGCAACTCCCCTGTCGTCTTTTGAGTAGCTCCTGTGTCTTTTCCTGTTTGGAAGTTATGATAATTTCCAGAATATTTGGGTAGTAGTAGCCTGGCCCACAAATGCTCCAAAGAGTGGAGCGATGCCTGCATTTCAGTAGCCCTGAGGTAACTCTGTTTGTTTTCTCTGAAGCTTTTTACAACTTTCTGGTTTTTCACATTTCTCAATTTGTGTCTAGGCTCTGAAGCAGCCTTTTAGGAGGTTCCAGTGGAGGTGACATGAAAGCTGGGATGTTCAGTTGCTTATGTTAGAGCTGATACTAAAGCTTAGCTCAAAGGTGCCCTTAAGCTAGATGGTGAGCTTTGTAGGGGTCTTTAAGATGAAAGCTCACCCAGAGGCACCTTAAAACTAAGCTCTTTACCTTAGGGGCACCTCTAGGCTAGGCTTTTGGCCTTTTAAATGCTTTGAGTGAGGCATGTAAAAAGTAATAATTATTTCCTCCTATGCTCCAGACAGCAGATTCCTCCCTGGGTAACCCCAGGAGGTGCGGTCAGGTTTCAGTGGGGTCAGTAGGGCAGGCCAGTTAAGGACATGAAGGAAGGTTCTGCCTGGGAACTGTTTCAAATGCGCCCCAAAGCTCCTGGTCC